TTTGGTTTGGTTTGAGGGTTATTTTATGGAAATTTTTTGTTGAGTTGGTTGGTTTGATGGGTTTTTTTTTACAGAAAATATTTTCTTAAAATGTTGAAGAGTCAGTTTTCTCTCTTGCAAGGCTGTGGAGAAGGGCAATGTGCTTGAAGCAGAAACAGGAGAGAAGAGAGTTTCCTGTGGTGGTTTTTATTCTTTCCCAGTAATCTGGGACCACAGAGCCCATGTGGTTATCCCAAGATGCTAGGACTTTCCTAGCATGCCCCAAGGATACTGAAATACTACACTGTTCCCTGTGTGCATCAGTGTGGACCTTCTCAGGCAGGACAGGAGAGCTGTTGGAGCACATCCAACCTGGAAGGGGCAGGATGGCTTGGGGGCCAGACCCATGTGAGCTGTTGTCCCAGTTTTGGACAAATGATGAGAAAACATCCTGAAATGAGCATGTCCTCTAATAGAAGGCAGGTTACAGCAGCCCATGTCTCCAAAGCAGGCTCTGAGGAAAGTGAAAAAAACTGTTTATTTAACAAGCAGGGTGCTGGCAGGCACGAAAAAGAGTGAATATTGTTAGATAGTGAACTTTTTTTTTGTGGAGAAGAGTTGGTAAATTCAGAGTCTTTTCTGTAAGTGTGGCTCAGCTCCTTCCGGGATCCAGATCTGACCTCTGGGCCGAGGCATGGGGGGGGGCCCTGGCGATGTTCTGGTGTTTCAGACTGGAGCAAAGTTGAACAGTTCCAGAAGAAGAAGCCACAGTCCTGGGAAAACTTCTTGCCTCAGCTCACAAACAAAAAGCTATGTAAAAGTAAAGAATTTTAGCTCTCTGTCTCTCTCTTGAGAAAAGAGCCAAGAGCCAGGGAAAAAAACTGAGCTAGTTATCTATGTTTTGAACACAGGCCACTGAATGAATTCCACCACCTTCCCCCTCTCTCCCAGCCCTAACTTAAAGGTCTAGGACTCATGTCTGGGCATAAAGCAGACGATAGGGGATACAGTATTATGAAGTCACCCCAAGACAGATGTGGAAGACAGCTCAGTATCAGGAGAGGGAGACATCTCAGGGCAACAAAGAACAGCTCCAGGGTTCAAAGGGTGTTTTTTGCTCACCTTATGGGTGGATGAAGCAGAAGAGGGACATGGGATGCTATCACTCATTTTTTTAATTTCTCAGTAGTCAGGACATAATTTCTCTGACATTTTTAAAAATTAAAATTCAAGTGAAAACTCCAAAATGAATAATTTGGTAACCTTGGGGTAATAACCTGAGCTGGCAAATAACTCTCTCCTCCATGGGACTGGCTGGATAATAAAGGGATGAACTCTGCAAACTTCCCCAGAGAGTCTGAAAAGACCCAACAAGATCTGGCTGCAGGTTGACTTCAGAGTCACAGACACAGTTGGGCAATTGCCTTACAGAAATGGGTATAGAGATAAATTAGTCATCACTGTCTGGTTAATAAGTGCCTCAGTTATTTTACAAAGCTTTTTCCTGCAGATGTAATTTTTTTTTGTCCTTTTGTAATGAAACATATAAATAGCTCCTGTCTTGGATCTTCTGTTCATAGAGTTCTGTCATGTAAATAATTTTGCCTCTCTTTCTTTAGCAGCTGCTTTACTTACCTTTATTTCAAAAGAAATACCTCCTATGTGTTGTCCAGGCCATGAGACCAAACTTTGGTATGGTGGCTTCATATCTCTCTGGCTTTCTAGAATAAAGCAGCAGGTCAAAGCATTCACAACAGCAAAGCCCTTTGTCTCAGTCAGTAGGAATAAACAGAGATGAAAAAGATAAAGAATGACTTATTTAGTTGCTGGATTTCAAATGTCGTGCAACATGCACTGGGAACACACAGTGTTGATAACAAACTTGTCCTGTTCTTTAACTTTCTACTATGTAGTGTCTACTACTTTTAAATACCAAGGAATGGTCACCATGGAGACAAACAAAATCACATGGGATATCATGCAAGAAGCTCTGTAGCATTGCAGAGAGCACAGAGAAATCCTCTTGTCTCCGAGTGCAATGCATTCTCTTGTGCCATCCTTTAGAAAGGTTTTTATTTGCTTTTCTTTTTGTCACACACTCCCAACACAAACATCCCTTTTCATATCCTGCCTTTGGGAAACCCTCTTTTTTTTCTCTTGTATTGGGTTGCATGGCCTGGTTTTTTGCGGGGGGGAGGTGGGGGGGTGGGGGGTAAAGGAGGTGGCTTCTGTGAGAAGCTGCTAGAAGCAGAGCCAGTCCCTGGTGACTCCAAAGAGGGACATGCTGCTGGCCAAGGCTGGGCCAATTAGAAATGGTGGTAACGCCTCTGTAATAACATATTTAAAAAGAAATAATGAGAAAGGATGTGGGGCAGTTTTAATTATGACTTAAGAAGAGCGAAGTGAGAACATGTTGATGCCTAGAGAGGCTGACCTGGAACAGAGACTAGACAGAGTTAAAGGAATAAAGTAGGTATTTATTAAAAGGCATTTAAAGGATACACCTTGGGCAGTACAAGAGCCTGGCTGTGGCTACACCCAAGATGGACCCAAAATGGACACAAGATAGATGACTGGCCATGAATCTTCACGCTTTTATAAGTTTTGGTCCATTTACATATTGGGGTTAATTGTCCAATTACAGCTTCAGGTTATGGAGTCCCATCCTCCTTGTTTGCTCTCTTCAATTCGCTATTGCTTATGCTTTTTGGGCCTGAGGCTGTAATGGTTGTCCTTGGTTCTCAAGCTGGAAAAGGATTGTTTTGTCTACCTACTGATTTGCGGAAAGAAAAAAACTGCACAACTTTGTAAAAGTTGTAAAGCCGGTATGTTTATTACAGCGCTGGATGCATGTGGGGATCATTGTCCCCCTAAAGGATGTGCACCCCTGAGAACTCTCGATCCTTTTTGTCTCCCTTACTAATTCATATGCATAGAATTTCACAATAGGTTCATACATGTTCATTTTACTGGTTTCCCGTTACACTTGCAGCTAGTTTTTTTTATCAGAAAGTACAGAAAGAACTCCTGGGTCATCTTGCCCTGTCTTCTGCAACTTCAGCTTTGGTTTTACACTTGCAGCTAGTTACACTTGCAGCTAGTTACCCTTGCATCTAGTTTTTTATCAGGCAGTATAGAAAGAACTCCTGGGTCACCCTGCCCTGTCTCCCACAGCCTCAGCCGCAGTCTCCGTCTGTTTCAAAGTTCAAGGGGCCCCTCTTATCTCTGTCCTTCAGCTGAAGCAGTATTTTTGAGCATAGGTTTTTTGTGAGAACAGGCAGTCTTGAATGCAGACCAAAACAGTTATGCTTGCAAGCTACAGACTTGATAATTCAAAGTGACACATTTCACCTAAATCTAAAATGGATTTCTACTCTGAAAAATTTCCACTCTGTTTCACTACCCTGTGAAGAGAACTTACTAACACTTTATATGAAGTTCAGACTCACACACTAAGGCAGTACATAATCTAAAAATATGAAAACTAAAACTTAAGGCATCAGTGTGAGGAGAACAGCATGCAAACACCAAGGTTGGTGAAGAAGGAGGGGGAGGAGGTGCTCCAGGCACCGGAGCTGAGATTCCTCTGCAGCCTGTAGTGAAGACCATGGTGAAGCAGCTGTCCCCCTGCAGCCCATGGTGGTCCACAGCAGTGCAGAGATCCACCTGCAGCCTGTGGAGGACCCCATGCCAGAGCAGGTGGATGTCTAGAGGAGGCTGTAATCCTGTGGGAGACCCATGGAGAGAGGGGCCCTGATCCCATGCTGGAGCAGCCTGTCTTTGAAAGACTGCACCCCGTGGAAGAGTGACCCATGTTGTAGCAGTTTGAGGGGTACTGTTGCCTGTGGGATGGACTCACGCTGCAGCAGTTCTCAGAGATCTGTTGCTTGTGAGATTGACTCATGTTGGAGAACGTCGCAGAGAACTGTCTCCTATGGGAGGGACTCCATGGTGCAGTAGGGGAAGGACTCCTCTCCCTGAGCAGCAAGAGAAATAAATGGGTGATGAACTGACCAAAACCCCCATTCCCTGTCTCCTTGCACCACTCAGGTAGGAGGCAGAGCTGGAAAGGAGGGAGGAGTAGGGGGGAAGGTGTTTTTTTAAGGTCTTGTTTTACTTCTTATTATCCTGCTTTGATTTTGTTAGTAATAAATTCACCTTATATCTCTAATTTGAGCCTGTTTTGCCCTTGATATTATTTAGTGAGCCATCTCTCCAGGTCCTTATCTCAACTCATGAACCCTTTGTCAAATTTTCTCTCCTCTGTCCAGCTGCAGAGGGTTTAGAGGGAAGTGAGTGAGCAGCTTTTGTGGGTGCCTGGCATCCAGCAAGTGTCAACCCATGAAATCTCCCTATCTGGAGGACTCCCCAGCTCCATAAATCATGTCACTTGGATAATCCTTTGTCATGGCAACCATCAGCTCAGGAGCAGGGTGACCTTTCAATGCCAAGTCTAGGCTGCACTGATCTTTTTCTGGTCTGTCAGGGACCCAGTATTACCATAATTTTGTGAGACCCCAGGGAGTAGCCAGGCCATTAGGATGCTTCTGGCCAGACACTGGTTGTGCTGAAGATAGAGGAATGAACAGGCTGGACAAGTCCACCTGGACCACCAAACCCAGCATGGCCACCAGCATTCATTGTCTTTCTCCTGGATTTCATTTAACCTCTTTGTTCCTGCTTTTATTTGATCTTGGTTGTGCATATGGAAAAGAGTCCCCATGTCGGTCTGGGGGGATGGCAGGCCATGGGAGACTCCATGTCTAGCACAAGCCATGACAGATATTGATGGGGTTGGTAATATTTCTACCATTACCTGCTTTCTGGTGGCTTTGCTGTGTTGAAATTCCAGCTACTCCACATGTGTTGAGTAATCTCCCTGCTGTTACTAAAGAGACTGTCAGTCTTCCTTCTCCCCTGCCATTTCAATTTTCTCTTATTTCTCTCTCCAGACAGCCATTGCCTCTCTCATGGTGATGTGGTTTTGCTGATGTAGCCTGTTGTCTCTGTATTTCTTGCAGAAGGACTTCACCATGCGGGAGGAGTTGCAGCAGCGGGATGTGGAACGCTGGCTGGGGTTCATCACCTTTCTCTGCGAAGTCTTCAGTACCATGAGAAGCAGCACTGGAGAGCCCTTTCGAGTTCTTGTCTGCCCCATTTATACCTGCCTCAGGGAGGTAAATGCCTTCAGACTTTGTCCTTCTCCACTGGTGAGCCAAGCTATTGCATTGCAGCTCTGAGGTGCTCATGATTCATAAATGACACTGGAGGTTGCCCAAAGAAGCTATGGCCCCCTGTTATGAAAGGATGTGGAGGTTTAGATAAGTCCCTGACTTTTGACCAGGCCTCCAGCAGCAGGCAGTAGCTTTATTGAGGCAGCCACCACCCCAAAACCTACTCTCGTTCCCAAGTTCTTCAATAATGGCTGATTCAGTCCATTATAGAATGAATTATTTATTTAATAGATACAAAACTAACAGACATAGGACTTAAACTAATACCACACAGGAATAAGGACAAAAAGAGAGAATACTAGTAGATATATACAGTGCGAGGTTAAAGGTACCTATTAATTTTACAGCTAGTGAAGAAATAATATAACTTAGGATTCCATGTATCTTACCATCCCATTGTTGGTGGGGCACACGTCGAGATCCTTTCCCTCAATTCCCAGGAAAGTAACCACAGAATCTGCATCCAAACTCTGGGGAGAAGTCTCAAACAATTGTCAGGGTGTGTGTTTAGAAGGCTTCTACCTCTGTGATAACTCGTGTGTCTTTTATAGTTTGCAAAACAGTGTGTCTCAGTCAAGAATATTTATTTTATCTCTTCCCACATCTGCTCTCCAGACTAAGATGGTGATTTGTAGCTGAGGCTTGAGCCCTTTTGGTGTCAGAGATGACCCCTTGCTGGGCCTTTCAGCCCCTAGGTTATCTCTTTATGCACCAACTATCTGTGGTAGAGACGGGGAGGACACGTCCTGCCACACCCCCGATCCCTGGCAGTGTTCAAGGCCAGGTTAGATGAGGCTTGGAGCAACCTGGTCTAGTGGAAGATGCCCCTGCTCATGGCTGGGGGTTTGGAATGAGATGATCTTTAAGGTCCATTCTAACCTAAGCCATTCTATGATTCTATTTGTTTTATGATTCCTAGAGGTTTGCTTTGCTAGCATCAACACTTCCCACCTCAAAAGTACCTACGTCTGCATGGATGCTTGGCTTTTCCTGCATTTTGTGTTTTTGCTAAATAAGGGCATGTGCTCCAAGCAAGACCCCTTTGTCCAACGGTTTGCAAAGCCCAACAGTTGGGATTGCAAACCCAACATTTGAGTTTGCCAGTCCCAGTGTTGTGAAAATCCACACCCAAGGGGCTTAAAAAGCTTCTTAAAGTTGGTGAAGTCCCCTGAATAGATGAGATGGACCGAGGGGAGAGAAGAGCAGAGAAGTAAGGTTCCACATGTCCTTACTCCCCACCTAGTTCAGCACAAATCTAGCCCTGCCACCAGGGTTGGGAACATTTCAGAACCCAAGCTCCAGATGAGTTTGTTTCAGAGCCTGAGAATCTCATGGTTTGAGATGGTGACAGATATCTTGGTGAGGACAAACAGAAAAGGCAACTCAAGGAGGGTTTCCCCTCATCCTGTTTTAATGGTGGTTTTGTCTCTTGTTGCTGTCTGTAGAAGACTTTCTCAGAAAAACCTGCCTCATTGCCCAGGGCTGGAGCTGTGAATCTCAAATTGTCAGTAGTGCTTCTGTTGGGCCATAAATAATTTGCTGTAAAATAAGTTCTCTGCTAGATCCTTGCCAAAGGAAGCATAAAGAAACTGCTGACAGTGACTTTTAACATGTATGGGAAGTTTTCTTTGAATGAAAACACATAATAAACATTTTGTCTTCACAGTAATATTGTATGTAGGGGTCACAGATGGTGACTGTAGCAGTGAGAAAGAGTGCAGGCATTGTGATGGGGCCTACATATCCAGCGGAGAAGGTGGGAGAGGGATGCTAAGAATAGCCTAACTTCCCCAAAATCTCTGCTCATGGAGGTATGTGTCACTTTATGGGGAAGATCTAGGCATCCAGAAAAGTCCTCATTTCCCTCTGCTTCCCATCACAGTCATGACACAACCCAGCCCTTATTCTGCCAGGATTTTTCTCTGCCTGCTTCTTAAAAATACATCTCTGTTCCTTAGGAGAACAGCTTTGTCCCTGTGGTGTTGTTAGTCAGAGAAGACTCTAAGCTGACATGGGTGCGCCTGAGTCTTCTGGCACTCCTGCCCCAAAATGGTTGATCTGAGACTGCTCTCTCCACAGGGTTGTGACCTTGACTCATGCTGTTTCTCTTCCATGGCTCTGTTATAGGTTTTCATCTTGCCATCATTTTTTGCCACCATCAGGTAATCGTGATGCCCAGGGCCAACCCAGGAGATCACGACCACCTATTTTTTAGTAGTGATAGGTGCCAGGCTCTGAGATGGTTGCCAGAACCAAAGTCAGGCTGTAGACTCAGATGAGGAGGAGGTGGTGAGCTCCTCTAGCTTTACCCAGGAGAGGACAAGTATATTTGCACAGACTGGCTCTGCCAGGTGCTCTGTGATAGGGTGAAAATTCCCTAATCATGCAGAGTACTTGTCCTTTGATGAGCTTCATGAAACACATGGGCTGGTGTTCCAGGACAGGAGGGGGTGTTACCATGGCCTATAAGGTTTGGGTCCTCCACTTTCCTCAGGATAGGTTCACTGGTTTTTTTCCCCTTCCTGCTGATCAGCACATATGCCCCTGTGTACAGTTTCATCCCCTTGCCCCTAACTCCTGCCCCCTTGGGCATCCCCCAGCAAAACCTCTCTGTGCTGCCCACAATCACGCTTAGCTCTCTGCCTCCATTCACCCATCCTTTGACAATGAATCATTAGCAGAGACAAGATAACATCTCTCCCTCTGCCTGTCCTTTAAGCTCCTCTTGCTTTTTAGTTTCTCTTTTTTTTCCTTTTTTCCTCTTCCTTTTCCTTTACAGCTCTGGCAGACTCAGTCAAAGATCAGCAAACAAGAGGAAGGGGAAAGCTGCCTGATGAATGAACCAGGAATGTCTCTTTCCTTTCCCCTGCAAAGCTTCCTCTCTCCAGCTCCTTTCCTTTCCCCACAAATAAAAACTTATTAACACCATAATTGGTTGTGGAACTGGCCCAGGTGGGAAGGAGGATGGCAGCAAGGAAATTGGTGCTAGGTGTCTCAGTGAGGAATCTGTGCTGGGGACATGGCTGGGGCATCAGGTGACAATGCAGTATTATTTATTGAGAGGTATGGATGGATTGGTGTAGTGGGTTGACTCTGGCTGGGTGCCAGACACCCACCAAAGCCACTCTCTTATTCCCCTCCACACCCACCAAAGCCGCTCTCTCATTCCCCTCCACAACTGAACAGAGGAGGAAAAATATAACAAAAGGTTCATGGGTTGAGATAAGGACCAGGAGAGATCATGCACCAAATACCATCATGGACAAAACAGGCTTGAATCAGAGATATTAATTGAATTTATTGCTAACAAAATCAGAGCAGGAAAATGAGAAGTAAAATAAATCTAAAAAACACCTTCCCCCCACCCCTCCCTCCTTCCCAGCTCTACCTCCTCCCCCAGTGGCAGAGGGAGATGGGGAATGGGGCTTATGGTCAGTTCATCACATGTTGTTTCTGATGCTGCCCAGGGAGAGGAGGCCTTTGCCTGCTCCAACATGGGGTCCCTCCCATGGGAGACACTTCTCAATTAACTTCTCCAATGTGAGCCCATTCTGTGGGCAACAATTCTCCATGAACTGCTGCAACGTGGGTCACTCTCCCATGGGGTGCAGTCCTTCAAGCACAGCTTCCTCCACTGTGAGTCCCCTACAGGGTGATAAGTCCTACCAGCAATCCTGCTCCAGTGTGGGCTCCTCCCTCCACAGGTTTGCAGGTCCCTGCCAAGACCCTGCTCCAGCATGAGTTTCCCACAGGTTTACAGCCTTCTTTCAGGCATCCATCTGCTCCAGCATGGGTCTCCTCCAAGGGCTGCAGGTGAGCATGCAGGTCTGCATCCCCATGGTCCTCCATGGGCTACAGGGGCACAGCTGCTTCACCATGGTCTTCACCACGGGCTGCAGGGGAATCTCAGCTCTGGTGCCTGGAGCACCTCCTGCTCCTCCTTCTCCACTGACCTTGGTGTCTGCAGAGCTGTTCCTCTCACATATTCTTATTGGAATAAATCAGGTGAGACTCCATTTTCTTCATGCAGGAAAAGCTAATTCTTTATTCACACAACTCATTTTTATAGAGTTTTTACAGACCTCGTGTGCAACTTTAATTGGTTAATAGTGTCCTAGGGTGACATTATGATGCTTGTATCCCCAATTGGGTATTCTGTTCATGCTGGACATTATATTCTGTGCTTTCAAGACTGGCTCTGGAAGAGAAGGCGGGGAGAAGAAGAAGCATGGAGTTTTTTTATCAGCCTGCTCTCACTCCTCCACTGTGGTGTCTGGGCATGGATGGGGCAGAACACGGCGCTCCGTTGTTTTTTAGTTGGTTTGGCTAGCTGAGGCAGAGAGGTTCCCTGGACTGTTTTTCTTTCCCTTTTTTTTGGAACTGTTCGAACCTGCTTTGGTCTGGGACCTGGGGAAACACCGAGAGCTCTCACTTTGTAGCCTGCCGGGGCCTACTCCTGGCAGCAGCCTTTTCCAGTGCCAGAGGGACTGATAAGAGAGTGAACACCCACCGGAGAGATTTTCTGAATTTGTCATCTCTTCAGAGCAACAAATTAGTTTTGTCATCTGGTATTGTTCATTTTTTGTGCTGGGGAGTGCTGTGCCTGTTAAATAAACAGGTTTTTTTCCACTTCTCTCTGAGGAAATTCTTCCTGAATTGGTTGGGGGGAGGGGCCATGTGGGTTTGCTTTCTGGGGGGGACTCCTTTTGGAGGTTTTCTCCCAAATTTGCTCTAAACCAGGACAATAGATTTCTTGCCAATTACTCTATTGGTTAGTAAAAGGTATCTTACTTGTCCATCAAATCTCTCTATTCTTAAATTGTTTACATATTTTCTTCACTGATTCTCATGGGATAGATTTAATGTTTATGCAGGTGATAGTTGTTTTTCACCCAGGAATAGATTGTTATATTAATGAACTATTCATACTGGGTTTGTTTCCA